TCATCTTTAGCAAAGCCAGAGATGAAAAGAAATCGGGTGCTGGGGCTGGGGCTAGTGCTGGTGCTGGTGCTGCTTCGCAAAGGAAAACTAATTCATCTCAAGCAAATAGTCAGTATCCCCCACCGGTATGTAGCCCCGTAATCTGCCATCACAGAATTTCAATCAATATTATAGACACACACATGCACGCATATTTCTTAACTTTTTCATGCTCTACGATTTCTGGTAGCAGAAGAAAAGGTTTTGCTGTTTCTGAGACCAATGGTGGCTTTGGGGGGTAATCAGGTCGTGCAATTTGATCATCGTGCTATGGGAGTTCTTCTTAGTTTGCATTTCAGGTTGATTGTGGGGAATGAGTGCCTGCTGTTCCCTTTCATTCCACTGCTGCCCCTTGCTCACCCATGTACGTATTTTAGGAGAAAACATTGATGATAAACACAACGACTTCAGCTGTAGTTTCTTATTTTCACGTATTTCCATACAACTTTTGCTGATGAATCAGCTATCTGTCAACCTTAAAGACTGAGTTTCACTAATGTTGGAGATTCATAGAAAAGTATTCTATATATATATATATATATAATTCTGTATGAGCGCTTAATTTCGAAACTCTTTGGAGCAGGCATGTTGATCTCCGGTCCATCAGGATTTTCATGCCTTGATACTCCAAGCAAAAAAAATATAATGCTGCTGCCTGTTGAACAAGAATGGATAGAGTATTAACACGTGTCTAACAAAGAAACTCACTTTTCCTGTCAAGCAAATCTTATAACAGCATTCAAGTGATGTGCTATGCTCCTGGTAAATTTTTTAAAATAGAAATGTGGACCGCACAGAATCATGGGAAACCTACCTGGTTTAGCTGCTAACCAGGTAATTATCAGTCAGATTATCAACTTCTTAAATCTTAACCATTCAAACAAAAAGAAAAAAAGAAGGAAAGAAATAAAGACTAATAATCATAGGACTAGATATACTATGAACTAAAAGAACTAAACCATCCACATTTGCTAGGAAGGGTGCATCCGATGCACAAAAAGCCTCTGCTGACCTTAATAGAAAAGGTTAAAAACATGTTTCTTAGCAAAGAATGAAGCTGATATCTTGACCAGGACCCGGAATTCCAGGCAAATTGCTGGAGTAGACAATACCATTTCAACGGTCAGCCAACCTATTCCCACCATACTAATTTGCTGGCTGATGAAGGCTCTGGAAAAGTGTCCAACTGGAAAGCTGATGAAGTGTAGTTTTCTGGATGGTCATACAGACACCTCGGGCCCAACTTAGATATGCCAAACTGCTCATAATGCCGGCAGATTCTTTTATCCTGAACAACAAAAAAATTCAAGGCATGTTAATGGCCATCATACAGGGTCACAATAATCAATAGTGAACGCATGAACTAGCTAATTTTCCTGTCGATAATGTAACCGAGTTGATATGAACAATGTTGACATTTGTAAGTGCACGCATATACCGTAGAGGACCATGCCTTCACTAGGCAAAATAAGTTAAGAACTTACAGGTCTAAGAGGCAGGCCCTTGCTATTGAGAGTGCAGACAGGAGATTTTGAAGAAATGTCCGTTGGATGGTGATACCTACAAGAATATTTGTATCTGCAATTCCCAGTAACCGTGAAATAACTGTACTTTGGTTGGCCCAGTCGATGAGGGAATTCTTCACATTGAATCTGTTCTAGATTGTTTGTAGAGACATCTGCTGTCTTCATCTAATTTTTCCCCAAAGGAAGACAAGTTAGGATGAGTAGTCTTTTCCTGTGGATAAGTGTTCATATGCAGAAGATCAAACAGATCAAAAGAAGCTACAATGAGGGACAACTAGAAATAAGGAAAGAAGTCGAACAATGGCAGGTCAGGTAAATTATAAGGACACCCAAAGTGAAACAAATACTTCTTTCTCCGGAGAGAAATAAAGAGACAATCACATCAGCAAGAATGTTATCTGGCAAGCTCCTATAAATCTAATCAAACACCATTTTTAGAGGTGTTTGTTCTGGAAGCGGATGCATCCTAGGAGCCTGAGATGAGTGATTACTCAAGCAGGAAACAGTTTTGAGAGATATCTTATCTGAAGACACTCATGGCCGCTTTGACTGTGAAGTAAAGAATTCCAAATTATGATTTCCCAGAGAATGGCCTCTCATATACGCACCACTACAAGTTGAATTGAAAGGTTTGGATACTTCAGCAGCTACAGGAACGGGATGATGGAATCCACAAGTAACTCCCTCCATATCCACAGGAGCCTGTGCGCATGTAAAATTCACACTCTTTCTCTCCCTGAAATAGTGAAATGAACATATAATCAATTCACAGTTCAGATATTTAGGGAAGCGAATCTAGAATCCTATATACATGTAAATATTGTTTCGAAATATTTGGGCTGCCACTCTTATAGAAAGACCCAAAAAGTTAAGCTCTGGTAGATTTGTCTCAGCCTTTTCGTTGAAGTGTTTATTATACCTGCAACTGCAAGCGTTCCCATATTTGCACCCTTTAGTAGTGAGGTAATAATACTGCAGTAATTAGAAACACAGGAAGCTTAATATAAGATATACTGCAGAGAGTTATGCATTGGAAATATATAACACTTCCAGCAAGATGAGACCGACTTGTTTAATTGTGTGAACAAGGACGATATTCCCATGAAGTTGGAGCACCATTAACGGTAGCTAGTATTAGTTTCATGATTTCTTGAGTGAGTTCCTTATCTTCTGTCAAGCTCAGCTAATATCTAACCCCATTGTCTGTTGTTTTGCATTCAAACTATGGATTGTCTTACCATATCAGTAGATGAGAAGTCGTTAAACTAAAGTACTGTTTTGCATTATAAATTTAAGTGATCAAGAGAGAGTCTCCACGATGCTACCAACTGTACTGGCACATCGCAAGGATTAAGCTCCAGCAGTGATATCTCAGACTTTCCATGGAATGATGGTATCAACAAGATTTTCTCAACTTGCACATCCAAAATACATTTAAAAAGTATTTTTTTTAATTTTTTTAATTTATTTTTAATATCAAAACAATTCAAAAACATAAAAACTAATATGATACAGAAACAAAATACGTTATTTTTTAAAAAATATTTTTTAATTATAAAAACAAACATATATGGGCAGATATACCGATATGATCCGATATAATCCTTTTTTCCTTTTCTGTCATGATTCTTTTTCTATTTATAAGTTGATTCCAGCAATATTTTTAAAAGAAATATCATAGACATAGCTAAAATTATTCTTGTAATGAATGCTTCGTATGTATGTGTATATATATATATATATATATATATATATATATATGTGTTGGAATGTAATACTTAATAATATGTAATAAACTATAATCTTCTTCTGTCATTCTTTCTTAGTCTTCTTTTCTACAACACACTCTAAGTTATGATTCATTAATAATCATTACCAATTATTCAAGAGCATACAATTAAATAAGTATATCATCACACAAGTATGTGAAACCCCAAAAAGCAAAGGCTGTAAAATTTTAAAATTTAAGGCAAAAAAAATGCCATGTCTGAAATTATCCAAAGAGAAATGGCTTACGCAGTTGCATCTGGCCAAAGCATGTATTTCTCATAATAAAAATCAAATACAGAGATTACAAATCAAAACATTCAAAGTCACAAATACATGGTATATTTTACGAACAGAGCATATCAAAACTATCCCATATTGATTGATTGCTTTAAGAGAGTAGACTGTCCATCCTTACGGTCATCATTTTATTCTCCTTTCGCCACCATTATAGACAAAAATCTAACCATCTCGGAAATTAAAATGGCAAAAACAATGCATAAGGAAAAAAAAATCAAAAGCAAAAGGAGAAACGGTACCTTCTTAATTTTAATGACTAGACCACTCGACTTAGAACTTAGTTTGTATTTAGATTTAAAAAAAAATTAATTTTTTTTTTGATATTTCAGTCTAATTCTAATAGACAATTATAAACTGATTATAATTTTTTTTTTAATTTTTAAAACATGAGAAATATACCATTTCTATGAAAATATGCTTAGAAAACACTTTAGAATTTAGACTGATGCATGAAAACAAGATTTTTTTTGTTTTTTCCAAAGACAAATTAATTTTAAAAATATTTTTTAAAAAAAAATTAAAGTTTTTTTTTTTAAAATATTTTAGAGAAAGTAAGATATTTTAATACCGAATCACTATATTATAGTTTAAGTATACAAACTCAATATTATGCAAAATTAGTGGAAAAATAAATGAGAAAATCACTTTTTTTTGAAATTATTTTTGGTATTTTTTAATATTTAATATTATAATATATAATTAAATATTATTAATACATGTGGGCTGAGCCCGCCCTGCTGCCTGGGCTGAGATGATCTCAGCCTAGTGGATTATGGGCCGAGACTGACCCAGAAAGGAGCTGGGAGCTAAGGGTGGGCCCATATTACCTGAATCGCACCTCGACCCTGAAGGAGACCTTGGGGTGGCGGAGTGCTGGGTGGAGGAGAACTGGGCCGAGACCGGATTCATTGAAAGTGGTCTGCGTCTCGGCCCTTAAGGTAACAAGGGCTGAGACCGGTCCCATTGAAGTGTAAAGTCAGTTTAAAAACTTGAAAATGGGTAAAATTAGGTTAAAATCGGGAAAAATCACGAGTTTAGACCCCTTTTTACGATTTCAACAGGAAAAAAAAACATGAGACTGCAGTATTCCAGGCTTCTAGCCCTCGACATTAAGCATTAGCTGCACAATACACAGTTACACACCACATACAACGTTTACCCTAATCTGTTTCTCTCGGTATCAGGCTCTCAGCCATTAATGATTTAACAATTAACCAGCCACCGTGAGATCGACGGCATCCTCTTCCTCAACAGCACTATCCTTTTTTCCCCGTCATCAACACTTCAACAGCCTTCTCTCTTCATCAACAACCCTTTCGTTTCCTTTTTTTTTTTTTTTTCCCATCATCAACGGCATTGTTTTTCAGTCTTCTCTCTTCATCAACAACCCTTTCCTTTTTTTCCCATCATCAACGGCATTGTTTTCAGTCTTCACTTAATCAGTATTCATCAACAGGTAATACTTCATTGCTTATATTAAATTTTTCTTGCTGGAAAGGGATTTTTAGCCCCGGTTGTTCTTTGCCCCATTCCTTGCTTTCTCCTTCTTTTGTCTCCTTGCTTGAGTGTGTGACACAGAGATGGTCACCAATCATTATAGACAATAACTTTTAATTGCTTGAGTTTGATTCTTTGTTGAGTTCATTCCAGCAATTCTACTTCTTTGCTAGTCTTTTCCTTTGTTAATCGTTCCAGTAATTCTATTTCGTTCCAGTAAAAAACTGGGTTGATTTAAATCAATTAAAATTTCAAAAGTTGATAGAGTTGCTATAAATCTGTGAAGATGTTCTTGGTTTAGGCTATTTGGAAACATGCTGGTGATTTTTTAGGAGAAGGTGTTACTCAATTTATAGACTGTGGAATGTAAATTGTGAGAGAACAGAGATTGTAAAAACAGAGAAGCAATGTAATTTTTTCTATTTCAAATCATCACGCAAAACTTAAATTTGCAGAAGACAATAAATTTACCAAACTGAACAACTAGAAAAAGCTCATTTGGTCGAAGGGTGTAGCTGTCCGAATCTTGACTCTGTCGTGATTGCATGGGTGATGGTGAGTGAAGAACAATGGAGTCTATAATTTTTATGTGAGTAATAGGTTAGGCAACAGGGTGTAAATTTTGGGGAAAAAGTTTGTTTTATCCTCAACTTAATGGGACAATTCAATTTGAACAATTTTTGCAAAAAGTAAATGCCATTTTTTAAATCGAAATCTGTAATTACCTTCCTGTCACAATTTAAAGTTAAGTGAATTGAGATGTATAGCATGATTCTTAAGTACGTTTCATAACAATCAATCCCTTTTTATATGTGGTCTTAAACATTCTTTTTCTTTTTTCAGTTATGCCGTGGTAAAAAATTTAGAGCTAGAATGAAGAAATGGAGATTTTTCTTAGTAATCAAACATTTGGATAAGCATTTATGCTAACTAGTAATCAAACATAGGGTTCGGGTTTGGATATTGCAATACCTGACCCATGGATACCATTGCTATCCCTACCCGTTTCTCTAACTAAAACGAACAAAAGGGGAGTTCACTCAGAAGTTTAGGGTTTTTCCTTCACTTTAAGAAAGAAAAAAGCACTTTATAGGGTTTTTCCTTCACTCTGTTTCTCTAAATATCAATTTTGATGTTTTGCAGCTCCTAAGTATTCACTGAACTGAGCTGAGTCGCTTGAGATGTCGAATCGGCCAGAGCTACTAGCTCCACCTGAGATTTTTTATGATGATTCAGAGGCTCGTAAATACACTTCTTCTTCTCGTATTATCGATATTCAGGTGCTCTTTTTTTTAATATTTAAGAAAAATGCTTTAATGCTTATTTAATGGTTTTGTTACCTGATGGTGATGTGTGGTTGGTTAATAGGCTAGGCTATCAGAAAGAGCATTGGAGCTTCTTGCTTTGCCTGTTGATGGAATCCCTAGATTACTCCTCGATATCGGTATGTTGCATTTTACATTTCCATCACGATTACATTATGAAGCCCCTCTCTCTTCTCTGTTTGTAAATGTGATTAATTTATGGCTTATGATTTGTTTACCAGTTAGAAAATAGCTACTCCATTGGTTTTATTAATTTTTTTTTAGAATTCTGCTCGTGTTGGAATTGAACATTGTGCCTTGACTTGGATAATTCTATGGTGAAAGTAACTAGGAATAAAAAGAACGTGGACGAGATAATGAGGATAGAGAGCTAAACACACAAGTCATCGATGCATTGGACAAAAATTTAATCATGAGTTTTTTTTAGTATTGTGTCTCCCCTTTATATTTGAACCAGCTAATAAGACTTAAAATGAAATTAACTATGGAATTAGAAAATCACTTTGTAGATGTGGTGTTTGTCCTTTTAATATGCATGTGTGGGACATTAGCTATTTATACATCAAACTTTTGTTGTTGGAAACCTTGAATTTCTGATACTTGTTATATTTTTTTTTGTTGTTAATTGTGCTGTTTGTGTGTGCAGAATTCAATTCTAAAGTTTTTAAATGCTTACAGTAATTGTTCTGGCATGTTCAGGCTGTGGATCAGGACTTAGTGGGGAGACATTAACTGAAAATGGTCACCAATGGATCGGCTTAGATGTTTCGCAATCAATGCTTAGTATGTCTGCTTGAGTTTGTTCAATTTTGTAATATTTCATCAAAGGTTCATGTTAGGTTACTTTGCATATAGGAACTTTAACATTCTTCCTTCTTGTTGAATCCAGATATTGCTTTGGAGCGGGAGGTTGAGGGTGATCTTTTACTTGGTGATATGGGTCAGGTATCCAACTAAGATTCAGTTTTAGTTTATTTGCTCCACAACACAATAAAAAAAAAAAAAGGAGAATCAAGGTTGTGGGGAAAATACAATTTCTTGGCCAATATGACTTTTTTAAAAATTTTATTTAGCAGGATGATGAGCTAATCATTAATTACTGATGCAAGGTTACGCAATCTTCTAGTTTATTTCACTTTTGACCAAATATGCTGTGTCATATGACACTTAAGGTTTAATACTTAATGCTCTGTGCAGTTATCATAGGTGAATGTTTGTATTTTTGGAAGCTATTTGGGTACAAGTCCTTTTTGAAAAATAGGTTTTCAGTTATTAGTTATCGCTGAAATGCTTTAGCTTATGGTGCAGGGCCTAGCACTTCGACCTGGAATTATTGATGGTGCCATCAGTATTTCAGCTGTTCAGGTTTTACTCTCTTGTATGTTATAGACATCTATGCAAGTTTTTTGTGTTAGAAGAAGTCCAAAAAATTCAGTTTTCCTTAATTTATGTGATGCATTATTTTCAATGAACCTCTTTTAATTCTTTCTATGCTTCTTGTAACTGCCTTCTGATGTTCCACCGATTTAAATTATTTCAGTTAAGGCTTGCCTGCGTTTTCCTTGTGTTCTTTGATGAACATGTCTTTTATTAAAGGAAACAAAAATGTCTATTTATGAATTACCTTTTCCCCATCTTGATTATTCTCTCTTTCCATAACCTTCCCATCTTGATTGTGCTCTCTCTTTCCACAACCTTCCCTTTATAAACAGAAGATTGCTGGTTTTCAAGGCTAAAGGTTTAATGGACAATTAAATTTGCATTTGGTTTTTTAGCTCTGAACTTATCTTTCTTCCTTGACCCAACCCATTAATTACTTCAGCTAAGGCCTGGCAAAGCTTGCTTACATGTTAGCTTTTCCTTGTACCAAGATGTTTATAGAAACAGTAAATTAAGGTAGAGACGGGACCTTTCTACATGACAGGAGATTTTTAACCAGACGGACAATTAACAATTAATCTTTTTGAAGTTAGATGAGCAAAAAAGAGATTTCAGAGAGGATGCTTTAGAAATGTTATGATATTGAGATTGGGGGTCAATGGTTTTCCTCTCAAAATTACTAACCAAATTTGTTTTGCTGTTTTAATTTTAAATGTTCTAATATATAAACCTCGACATTTTTTTCCAATTGCAATGTCAAACTTCACACAGTTGCTTTCCTTGTCCTCTTTTCTTTTCATTCTGGAGCCTGTAACTTGGTCTAAATGTTGCTTGTTCTTCCTAGCCTCATAAATTTCCCATCTTTTCTTTCATATCCTTTGTAGGGGTTGATTCTTAAATATTAAGTTGTATAACACTTTAATGAGCGCTTTTTTCACTTTATTATATTGATTTGGATCCCAGTGGCTATGCAATGCAGACAAGTCCTCCCATGAACCAAGACTAAGATTGAAGTAAGTTCCTTCCCTTTTCTTTTCTGCTTTCGGTTTATGTGGTCCGTCAACACTAATCTGTTTTGGGATTCAATTCTGGGCTTGGTTTCTTCTGAATTTTTTATTTCCAAGAAAAAATTGGTTTTCATTAATGCAAAGCATTAAAGCTTAATGCATCCATAACAGATTACTCAGAAGTAGGGTTGGGAATGTTCTAGATAAAAGACTTCTCTTGGCACACTGATGTATTGTGAGCTAGGTAACAAGCTAAGTTTCATAACCTGTCAAGGATTGAAGCTGAAAGTTGAGTCCTGAAAGTGTTAGCTGATGCCTCTAATATCTGTAATGTTCTGATTCACAAGAAACTCAAATACTCAATTCGACTAAACCTGCTATTTTGAACAAATTTTGTTGCATTCTATTAGATTCCTATCAACACTAGATAGTGATCAAAGTTAGCCATTTGATATTACTCTTGTGAATTTGAATCACTGATGTGTATTTTTCTCATTGTAAATTGATTGACAATTTTGTGGCAGGGCTTTCTTTGGATCATTATATAGATGTTTGGCAAGAGGAGCAAGAGCAGTGTTCCAAGTGTATCCTGAAAACATAGCCCAGCGTGAATTAATTTTGAGATCTGCAATGCATGCTGGATTTGCTGGTGGTGTTGTCATTGATTACCCACACAGGTATTCCAGGCTTCTATTTAGAAATCCTATGCTCAGTTTTTCATGACTTGTATTTGTTGTATATGTGTTTTTTGCTTGGCTTCAATAACACCTGCCCTTTCCATCCCTTTAATCTGAATGTTCTGGTTGGGAATAAAAGCTTGCACATAATAGGTTGCAAGCTTTTCAAGAATCTGAACCATGAGAGCTTGATGTGCTAGATGCTCTTTCTGCTAATTCTTTGTTTCATTATGCAAGTATATTCACCCTGTTCTCTCTTTATCAATTAAGTTCACCTTCCGTTATGTAATTTCCTTCGAAGAAAAAAAAAAAAAGAATCTTATTGAGGTGTCCTGTTTGTAGATATATCCTCTTCGGAGTTTCATCATTCACTGATTGAACTATTTTTCTGTCACAGTGCTAAGAGTAGAAAAGAATACCTCGTGCTTACTTGTGGACCACCATCTTTAAGCACTGCTGTTCCCAGGGGGAAAGGCGAAGATGGAGAAAGCTGCTCTGAAGATGAAAATAGTGAAGAAAATCAGATGGTGGGTTGCTTTGTCTTGCATGTTTTTTCTTTTCAAGCTTTAACTGGGTTGTTTGAAAGCATGGTATCCTTTTCTTTTCAATTTGGATTTTGCAAGTCACTAATAATTATTTTATATGCATGTACCTTGAGAATGCAGGTTTGCATTTCAGACAGGAACAGACCTAAGAAAAAACAGAAAATAACTAGGAAAGGGAAGGGCAGAGATTGGATATTTAAAAAGAAAGAGCAACTGAGACGAAAAGGAAACGCAGTGCCTCCTGACACAAGATACACTGGTCGAAAACGGAAGGCTCGATTTTGATATTTACATGAGCAGCCAACCTATTGGAAAATTAGACATATAAATCGTTTTGTACCCAGACCTTTATGCATTGCCTGTTCCTGTTGCTGCTCCAACTTGGTGAAATCGATGTTGAAGATACTTGGTCATGCAAGTGTGAAATCAGATGGCAAAAAGATGATTATTATAAGATACTCGGTCATTTTATAGGCCTTGTGTTTTTGGGAAATCAAATTGAAACGATTGATTCTAGAATGAGATTTTGTTTTGTTTAGTTGGAACAAGCCAATAACCTTTATCCAATCAAGACCAAGCCAAGAAAGATAATGAAACATTACCTGTTTTGTTTAGTTGGAATGAGATTGTTTTGTTTCAGTCTTGGGGCTTGGAATTTTAGGTTTTTAGTTTTTTAGAGTTAAGGGTTTTGGAGTTTAGGATTTTGAGTTTAAAGTTTGGGGTTTAGGGTTTGATTGATAGTATAAAATTAAAAACAAATACTTGAAAAAAGGTAGAAATTAAAAAAAAATGTGATACATTTAAAAAATGTTATGCTTGATTGGGTTGGGTTTGATTTATGCTTGATCAAGTTCGGGTTGGGGTCAGTATAAAATCTAGGATTGGGATTGGATATTACTGTAATGTCTCACATCGGCGGGTGATGAATTGATTGCTGATCTTATTAGTAATGCTAGGTGTCAGCATGTTATACATGTCTTGGGGTCTTGGGGCTCGTGGGCTGTCACAAACAAAACTGAGACAAACAAAACTGAGACAAACAAAACTGAGACTGAGTCAAAGTGAATAATATATAGCATGTTGAGCAATAATATATAGCATGTTGAGCTAGGATATTATATTTGATATCAGAATTAACTTTACTAGTTGTTTGATGGTGCTGATGGAGTTGTTGAACTCTTTAAGAGGGGTGGATTGTAATGTCCCATATCAGCTGGTGAAGAGTTGGTTGTTGGTCTTATTAGTAGTGCTGGTTGCTAACATGTTGTACGCGTTTTGATATCTGTAGGTTACTAGAAACAAAATTGTAAAGTGTGGAAGTTGGGTTGAGCTGAGTTAAAATGGATAATATACAACATGTTAGGTCGAATTGTTACAGTTACAATACTCGACCTATGAATACCCACTACTATCCTTACCCATCTCTCTAACTAAATTGAATGATAAGGGAGTTCACTAAGAGTTTAGGGTTTTTCCTTCACTTTAAGAAAACAAAAAAAGTTTTAGCTGTTTCTCTCAATCAATTTTGATGTTTTGCAGCTCCTAATTAGTAACCAGGCTAAACTGAGTTGAGTCATTTAAGATGTCGGATCGGCCAGAACTATAAGTCTGAGTTTTTTTCATTATGATTAGAAGCTCGTAAATACCCTTATTCTTTTATATATTTACTCTGTTGGTAATTAATTACTTCAATTATTAATTATCAAGTTAAAAAAGAAACTAAACATGGATTGTTAGCGGTCCTTTTTTCCTTTGTCATCGAAAATTTTATACAATACATTGTCAATCAATATTACTTCTTTTTAATTTTATTTTTTTGGAAATATTTTATATTCTAGAATTTGTTTTGTTTTGCATCCTCCAATATTAAATTAAATGTCAATACTATAAAATAAAATTTTAAACTATAGTATAAAAAAATTAAAATTAAAAAAAAAACATTGATGCCTCAAGAGCATAGTGATGCCCAAAATATGTTCAGAAACAAAATACATGAATTAAAAAAAGGTAGTTTTTTAAATTAAAAAGATACATTTTTACTCTTTAATTAAAATCATTAGAATTTTTTTAATACTATTTTCAATTAAAATTATTTCTTATTCAATAAATTATGTTGTTAATATAAAAGACATGTTATTGTCAAAAATAAAAAACATTATATAAGATAAGAAAATTTTGACTTAAAAATATATTTTTTCTCTATAATATTATTCACTTCTTTTCTTTTGAATATCTATTTTAATTATGATATAATTAAATAAATAAAAAATATTTTAAAAAGTACTCACAATAGCACTGGCACTATAGCTATTTACTATTATATTTACAAAATGCAGTAATATACATTAATTAAAACTAGCTTTCTTGTATTGTCTGTATCTATTTAATTTATTGGTTCAACCCTATATATTGGGTTGATGATTCAAAGAATGTTATATTTTTTTTTTTAATTTTTTGAGTTAAAATCTTATAGTTTGTTTTTAATATAAATGCAGAGAATGTGTCTCAAAATCGCTAACAATATATCTAGTAATGGTTAACACGCAAGTTAATCTGAAGATATCCTTATAAAAAAAAAAGAGACACGGGCTCAATTCTAGGACTGAAGCATGGGATGAACTCCAGGCATTTAGGCTAGTCTTGTAATAGATGGCCATGCTTTTGTTGTTCTTGTAATTGTAAGAGAGCAACGCTTGCGCCGGTGGACTTGGGCAGAATGCAGATAATGCAGATACCCTCAGCACGGCTGATAAATGATGTTACTCTTGCTTTGCATCTTATTACTACCACTACCAACGATTTGTCCGGTTTATTATATATAAAAACAATAATTTTTAATAATTATTCGAATTAAGTTACAACATACGAGGTGTTTTCAGAAAGTCTAGTTAGTTAGTACTATGGTTTCATGATCCTAAAATGTATGTTTCAAGGGAATAACTAGATTTTGATTATTCATGCCTCAAGAGAAGATTGATTAATTGATGATTGAATATTCATAAAAATGTGCTATCCCCCATCATGAAAAGATCTAAAATTAATCAATAAAAAACATATATAAAATCATACTAATTTAAAAAAAAAATCCCACGTTCAAACAGACAGAGATATCTGACCAGACCACAGACCTGAAAGAAACCTCAAACCCACCAAAATAACAATGCTTACTGGTAAATACTAATTAACTATTGAATTAGTAGAAGACATATGAAGCAACGTAGGACATTGCAAGTTGAGATGACAGCGCTTTAAAGACACCGGAAGATAACACTGGTGCAGAAGGTGAAGCAGAAGATTTTTCGCCACCAGAATTAGTTTCTTGGTCACTTGAAATAACCTTGATGATCATCCTCTGTCCCCTCTCACAGTGTCCAGAAACCCCACTTATGAAGTAGAAATACCCTGAATGGTTAAGATGGTAAACAGTGTTGCCGGTGTTGGAGAAGAAGTTGGGGTGACTGGAGTTGCACTTCTTGTAATCCTCTACACTGACCTCCATGACGGAGTCCTTCCTGTACTTGAAACCTGCACAAGAAATGGTGATGAACACCAAGGAAATTAAAGGAAAAGGTAAATTTCATTTCATTTCTTTGTGTGTGAACTTACGAATTGTATCATCAACTTGGAATCGGTTCTCTGAGGCCCAGTCATTGTAGATTCTGGTATCATTGGCAGGAGGGACAACCCAACCTTCGTTAGCACCAATTTCGTATTCAAAGGAAGAGACCGACAAGTACTGAAGAGAAGAGAGAATGGTCATCAACAACAGCGACATTTGCTTGGTAGAACTCATGGCGTGTAACAGGAAGCCAATTGCTACAGAAACTATCTTGCTGTGAACTGAAACTATAGGAAAATGAATATACTGAACAGAAAGGAGAACTTAGTGGTTTATATGTGAATGTGTCTTGGGAGTTGCGCTTGAGCTCTAGTAATGGGATTCGTGGGGATGGTAGAGATGGGCAAGAATTAGTTACTAAAGATGGAGATTGAGGTAGTGGGAGGTTAACTGTTTAGAAATGTATACTTGACGTGGTCAGCTCGTCTAATCCATACATCAGAGTCAGCTTTTTCGGTTAAAATCATGAAAAAAATCCATATATATTTTAATTCCGATAGAAATTTATTATGAGGATTGTTATTTTGTTAATGTCCTAATTTTCAATGAAACCTATAGTTAGCAAGTTTTTCATCGGGGATTATCATTCAGCCAGTAATTCCAATACCGATGGAATACCAAAACAAAAAAATTACTGTTTATTTTCAGCCGGCAAGTCCATCGAAATTTAATTTCCGATGGAATTTATAGTTGCCGATTCCATTAAAAATACCGAAGCCTTATGTAATTTAATTTTCAACGAAATGGGTGCAAAATTACAGTAAGAAATGCTGATCGAATGGACTACTTCATCGCCAATTCGGTCATTGCTTTCACTAATTTTTTTAGTTGTTATAATCTTTATGCCAACCTAATATTTTACATAATTTTAGTTTTGTTACACAATAAAATATCAAATTTAAATCAATTCAACATCTTTTAATTAGAATCATCCTTCATTATCATAACCAATATTATCTTTTTCATTAAAATTCAACATCGGTTTCATCATCATCATCTACTTTTCAATATTCATTGGTATTCAATATTACATTTAATTCATCAACATAAATATTCTTAGTAACATGAAAATTTAAATTTTCTAACTTAATACATAAAGCAACTCAACATAGATTAACTAACTTATCTATTTGAAAGATTGTCTCTCATAATCAAATCATTGTTACCACCTTTAATAATTTGGACATAACTTCTAGGTTTGGTTTTCATAACAAATAACCAATCAATTCTATTAAAATCTTTTTCAAAGGAAGGAGTGTATGTATAATATACTTGCTGACATTGTTTAGTAAAAATAAAAATATTATTGATGTTATGAAATTTAATTCTTTTATTTATTTTAACCAAACCATAGTGAGAATCTGTTCTAATTTCTATATTAGTATTATACCAATAGTTTTTGAATAAAAACATTGTATCTTGCGACCTATGATATCACGATTCAATAACTTCTTGTAACTTACTGTAATAATTAATTTTAAACTCATTTGAAGTTAAACCATTTACACATAACCTACTATTATAGGCCTTTTCACCCTCCCCAAATTGCTTAGTATAAAAGATATATCTATTAATAAAATAATTATTATAACATTAGACCTTTTATTCAGGACCCAAAAATAAAAATTCTAATCTATTAGTATTGGTTCACTTATTGAAGACCTAGTTAAAGTTAAAAACCATTAATTGTCAAAGAAAAAAACATGACTAAATTTAAACTTAAAAGATACAAATTACAAAATGATTACATGTGTTTTAAACAATGTGGCAAATTGTTTATCTTATAAATGAAAATTTTAAAATTCACTAATATTTCAAATTTGAGAGAACAATAATTGATAATGTTGTCTACAAGAAAGTTAACTAAACTTAGTTTATAAGATAATATAAGAGAAAATATTTTAAAATATATAATTGTAAAATTTACTTACTGAATTTTAATGTATTAATTCATTTTAGTTAAATAACATATAATTATATGCTTGTCTAAATTCA